GACACAAACTCATCTTAACATGCACCATCTTTCCACACACCACTGTCTATTCTCTTATTTCCTGCACCACTTAGTCCCTGTCAAGCTGCTCTATCCCTCAGATCTCCTGCAAATACTCTGTACATCCCGTGGGAAGCCTCTTTGTTGCTCCCCAACAACAGAACTGGGAATCAGGTGCTGGATTCTGCAGGCTCTGCTTTGCTCTGCTTTGCTCGCCTTTCATCTTACGTACTGATTTACATGACTCTATCCCCATAAGACTGAGCTGCCTGAAGGACCACATCTCTTTTATTTCCTCAGAGTCTATGATAATACGTTGCACATAGTAGGTCCTCAGTAAATATTTTATGTCTGCATAAACAAGTAAATTAACACACTCATAAGGTAATTTTACCAAAATTCAAAACAAAACATCAAAGAATATTCCTTTGGTCATTCATAATGTCTAGAAGCAGAAGGCACTAAACCAGCACATTCATAAAACATTAGCTCATTCATCTGTGATTTTACAGAGGTAGGGATAAGCCAAATAAAAAAGGAATGGGGACTGAATATAGAAACACCTAAGAACAGGAAACGCTATGATGCCTTTCTGTAGATCTTAGCAGACCTTAAGTTCTGGGGGCAAGGATGAGGTAGGCTGCTGGGGAGCCAATCGCAAAGGCAGATGGGCTAAGGAGAACCAAGCAGTGTTGACTATGTTTAAGGATTTTAAATAGCAACAACTCCATCCAGCTTTAGTTTTAGACTAGTGAGTCTGGCAGCGTGTGCTTGATTACCAGGAGGGAGGGGCAGTCAGCAGTCAGGGACCTTTGGAATGTTGCAACAGTGATCTATGCAGATGTAAAGGGGGCCTTAACAGGGATAAACAGAGTAGAAATATATAGTGGGGAGCAGACTGCAAGAGTCATGTGAATGCAATATTTATAGTGCTTGGTGTACGGAGGTATAGGGTCAGAGAGGGACCATGGATGCCCTGCCAAATGAGAGCTGGGAGATCATCACTTCTCTAATTGGGCCAAATAAGCAGAAGAACATATTTAGGGGGAATGATGATTAAGTTGGCAAAATTTGTTGCAGCTGAGGTGGCTGTAGAACAACCAGGTGGAGTTGTCTAATAGGAAGTTAGAAATATAGTTCTAGGGCTCATCAGAAGACTCTGGTGTGGAAAAATGATTAAGGAGCCACTGAGTGAAAAAATAGCAGTTGGTACCAAAGATTTAGATGGCACCTGAGAAGGCTGCAGAGCAGAGGACATTATAAAGAGTTCTGTAGGGAACCCATAAAGGAAGGAATGGGGAATCTATGGATGAAAGTTGGTGGAAGCAGCTCTACAACCCACAGCACATGGTTTACAAGTTTGTGCCCAAGGCTGCTGCTGCAGTCAAGGCCTTTATCAGACAGAGGGGGCGCAGGAAATCTAATGTGATTGGCTTTAACGTTAAAGACATACCTCAGAAATCACACACATCATACATACTCAAATCCCACTGACCCAAACTTGGTAGCATGGATGTATTTATGCACAGAAAGGCTAGGAAATGTAGCCAGTCACTGGGTTTATCTGTTGCCCAGATAAAACAGGGAGGAGTTTAACGCAAAAAGGAATGGAGATAGGTACTAGAAGATATAATTAGATTTTTGGAATATTTTCCTTTAAATACGTTGCTGATATTAGTCTCACCTAAGCAGAGGGAGCATTGTCCAGGGAAAATGAAAAAAAAAAAAAAAAAAAAAAAAAACCTGAAGCTTCCTGAAAGGGCAGATGCGGTTGGGCTGCTGATGCAGAGGTAGCTTTGTGAGGACGTGGCATGGTGCCGCATGAACACAGGCTGCATCACACTGAATCCAACTCCAGCTCTGTCACTTTCCTGGATAAGCTTCTTAATACCCATATCCCAACCGTACTTCGGGGCGGTGGTCAATGAGATTACCATGGCAGTGCCAAGCACAGCACCTCCACCTGGTAAGGACTCAGATTGTTACTCCTTTCCTTTCTTCCCATTTTTAGAGGGCAGAAGATAAGACATACCTAGAAATGAAAAAGAAGCTTAAGAAGAAAGTGGCTGGACACCAAAAAAACTTTGCCTACTTCAAAACTTTGCCTGGAACCCTGATGTCTAGGCTTACATGAAAATCAAGTAACCATGCCAGTCTGACCCGTGCACCTGACATACGCTGCAGAGGTAGACTGAGGGCGGGTATTACTCCAGAGCAGCACCAGCCAGGTCTCAGGTTTTAGAAGCTGGTGGATTTGAACTAAAGGCAGCAACTGGTTGTAAAGGTTTCCTTTGTCTTATTAAAACAATAATGAAAAAACATATTTTTACAAGGTCAGGCAATGCTGTATTTATAAACAACCTGTAACTGTAACCCCACAGATAAGGAAAAATGTAGCCCCACCCAAAAACAAGTTAATAGCTCATCCACTTACAGAAAAAAAAAAAAATAGCAGCACAAGAATACAAGACTGTATTTCTCGGGTTTTAATCCTTCTTTGAAAACTTTACTTCCATGTCTTATAAAACTCAAGAGATTAGTTCTCCAGGCTGTACACTTAATCATAAGGCAGCAGAAGTTACCTGGTATGTCTAAAAGAACAGATCATTAACTGGAAAGGTTACCAGGAGTGAAAAACCTCTCTTCCCTCTTTTCCAGCTCTTCTCAACTTTTAACAAGAGTAAAAGACGCAAAAAAGAAATAGCAGGTTCCAGCCAGGTGCAGTGGCTCACGCCTTTAATCCCAGCAGTTTGGGAGGCCTAGGCTGGTGGATTACGAGGTCAGGAGATTGAAACCATTCTGGTCAACAAGGTGAAAACCTGTCTCTACTAAAAATACAAAAATTAGCTGGGCGTGGTGGTGCCCACCTGTAATCCCAGCTACTCAGGAGGCTGAGGCAGGAGAATCGCTTGAACCAGGGAGTTGGAGGTTGCAGTGGGCCGAGATTGCACCACAGCATTCTAGCCTGGAGACAGAGTGAGACTCTGTCTCAGAGAGAAAAAAAAAAAAGAAATAAAAGAATTACTTGTGTTCCCTTGAGCTGGGCCGGTAACAATGAGTCCAGGTGCTCAAAACAGTAGCAGGTACATATTTGAGGGCCACAAGCAAAATGTGGAGGTGGTAAGAGAAACTGTTCATGAGTTTTCAAAGGTTAACTATTAAGTGTGAATAAATCATTACTATTATTTTAATCAGAAGTACATTTTCTATTACGTTGTTCAAATGAAGCTATCTATGGAAAAATACCTGATTCCAATGCTGTTCTAAAACTCAATGCTAATTTCCCCACTGAGAGAAGAAAAGAGGTAAAAAATATGATTTTGCTTCTGTGGAAAGCTTTAATAAGATATTTCTAGTCTGAAGTTGGTGGCACCATTTATGTCCCTCTATCAGAAATTCCAGCTGAGGAGAAAGAAAGGACTGGGGGCAGGGGGAAGAATTTGCAAAATACAGACTTAATGTTTTGAAAATGAGTACACAAAAATAAACTAAAATAAGTTGGACATTGGTGCCTTTGTGTGTCAACATTAAGGTAACAACAAAAGGAAAGTCTGAAAGAGTTTTTTCCAAATAGACATTATGTTCCAGAAAAGACTTGGATTTAATCTGCATGGTTGGCATCTTCTTGCCTGTGAAATGAAGTATTTTGGATGCTTTGCAAGCCATTCTCTGAAGTCACCTGTGCTAGTTCCATTTCTATTGTTCCATATTTATGCACCACGGCTCATCTCCCACTATTTACTAAAAAATTTATGATAGCCCACATTTGTAGCTGTTCTCACAACAAATCATTTTGTGGCATACATTTCTCTGCAACCGAACTTCCCCAGGGGAAGCAGATGAGATGAGAATCTTCTGGTTTCATGCTTTTACATAGTGCTGAATCACTAAATAAAAAGAAGGCAAATGACTGCCATTTCCACTCAGATTAGTAGGTCTCAAGGTGAGAAGAGGTAGATTTTATTTTAAAACTGAGATTGATAAAGAATAAAGGAAAATGAAGAGAAGGCAAAGAAGGTAAAGAAAGCACTCAATATCAACTTTTCAAATCAGCAGAAGGCAATGGACTCAGGTTCGGAAAGCAATTAAGCTCAGTTCGTTCAAAGACACTGAGTCAGGAACAAGGAAGAAAGTTACACTGATAGTTCCTTTGTGAGACAACTGAGGCTTTGGAATCAGAGACGACAGGTCTAATGAGAGCTTTACTTCTAACAGAACTTCAGGGAAGTTACTTAACCTGTCTAAAGCTACATTTCTGGACATACTAAGAACATCTATAGCAAGTTCATGGGCTCATTCATATACATAGAGCTTGGTATATTGTTGGCACACGAAATGGTCAAAAATGGTAGTTATTATTATTGCAATATGAAGGAAGAGGAAAAATACAGAATGTAAGCTCCATGACATCAGTAATTTTTGTCCAGTTTTGGTCACTGCCACATCCTAGCATGCATAGCACGTAATAGGCTCTCAAATATTTAACAATGTATCAAAATAAAAGTATAATACTTTTCAGAGTAAGGATAGTTGCTGTCACCTAGTCTGTTATTTTGTAACATCTTTGGGATATGGCACCTCACAGCTTTAAAGTCCATACAGTCCATTTGAAAATAACTGTTGTTAAGATGAATGTTCTGTTGTGGCTTTTCATTTCACGCACAGATAGCAACCATTATAATCATCTTAAAACCAGAACTGATACATTCCTACTCACATCTTTTTACTTCCTTTGGAGATATAAAGCTTTTACTTTTAATATGTATGCAGGACAAATATTTGAACAACACCCTGATGTTTGGGTTCACTCAAAGTTGAACAACCATGTAGCTAAATAATAAATAACTGTTTTTGTCATCTTTTTCTCTCAAATGTAAATGCTATCACCTTGAAAGCCAGAGAAAATAAAATCCAGTTAGGTGGCCTGGTAGTATACTGGATGGGTTTTGGTTTATTGTAAATTTCCAAAAGCAGTATTTGGGGAGAACAATACATGTTACCTTTGCAGAGTGCTCCATGGTGACCACAACTTTGGTTTTGGCACTGGACACCAAATCCATAGCACCTCCCATTCCTTTCACCATCTTCCCCTGCAAAACAAAAAAAGAAATAGCTGTGTCTTTCACTTCATTCGTATGTGGCAGAACAAAATTAACTTGCAAAAATAAGATACTAGAATCATTAAAAACTCATTGTCCTTCATTGCTTAGTGCTTGATGCTCTGTAACCTAATATTCTGTCATTCTATTATTCTGTGGTTGAAGGATAAAGTTCAGGATAAACATTATGTCACTTTTATTAAGTGTGGCTAACATGATTTTCTTGACATATTAGCAATAAGATAATCAGTGAATTAAAAGAATTAAAAACCTTTCCAGAATTCTGGGACATTACTATTATTACAGTATCAGACTGAAATCCAAACACCCCTGACAGCCACTTCTTTCTTTTTAAACACAATCAACACTACTGCCTCTTTTATTACAGGCACTTTCTAAAGTTCTCTTGGATTTCCTGCAGATTAAAATTCCATTATGTAGTAGTAGGCTGAGGTATTAATGGTGTTTTTCTAGTAATGGCTAATATGAAAGGTGGCTCTGTCTTTCTAACACTTGGCATTTATCTTGCTCTTAGAAAAATAAAATGAAAAATATTCTTGGTAAGCAAAAACAACACAGAAGCAGAGTTCAGGGTCATTTCACCATTACCATTCTATTTTTGGTCATCTGGCCATCCCTTCATTCATTACACTGGCAATAGCTGGGGGGCAAGGGATGAGGGTGGCAGAAGAGAGAAGTGCAGACTACAAGATAAGCCTGCTTTCAGACAGTTTGAAGCAGAACATCCATGTGGAAATGCATAACTTTAAACTTCTAGAGTCAGTGCCTTCATTCTTAGCTGCAACCCTAATAAACTGGTGGCCAATGTATTAAGTTGGTCATAATATTTCTGTAGAGAACACTGATATGGTACAAAATACACATAAGTCAGAGATGGAAGCAATCAATGTCTACCAAACTCTAATGAGAAAGTTTGAGATTTGTAGAACAACGAAAGACACTAAAGCAACCCTATGATAAAACGTGTCAATCTGCTTTGGTAAGAACATCCAGGCAGTCTCAGCTTCTATACATAGTGTCCTTGGCAGACTGAGGGGGCGAGCTCTGGAAGAATGAAAAGGGAGCAGCCAAAGAAAACCAGAGACCAAGATAGACAGTTAAAAACTCCTTGAATTTAAAAAAGCCCCTGAATTAGAATATACCATAGGCAAATTCTATCCCCTGTGACACAATGTTTACATAGGTAAAAACTTATAACAGCCTCTAACAAGACGGAAGCCTGTCCAATTTAGATGAATCTGACTTATACAATTTAAATTACTGTCAATTAGTTTAGAAATATGTATGGAGCACCTGCAGGGTACAAACCACTGTGCTGGAAAGAATATAACACACTATAAAACGTGATAGACCAAGAATGTCTGTTTTTGTTAAAAACATTCTTGACTCAATATATGGGAATAGCCTTTGCTCAAGGAGATTCAACTGGCTTGACATCTCATTTCCATAGCACATGCTACAACCTTTAACGCACTATTTTGATTCTTAAATGTAATGCTTGTTTCCAAGAGTGAAAATGCATGAGATTAGGTGCAGAACAACTGAGATCTATCCTGTTAACTATGAGTTAATGGCAAAACACCAAATCTCTCTGAATTTGGGTTCATTATCTAAACACCAGGAATAAGAATATCTGTCCTACCATACAGAGCTGTGGTGAGCACTGTATGAGATAATGTATGAAAACGTGTAGTAAACAGAGTTTATAAATGTATTCACTTATCTTCAATCAATTCAACTTACTGAATGTCTAGCATAAGTGTGGCTCTATATTAGGGTGCTAGAGTCGGATCAAAGAAAGGTTCTTCTCCTGGAAAAGCTTGTTACCTAGGGAAGGAAAAGTATCTATGAATACTAAAATACTCAGACTATACTTCCTTCCTCTAAAAGGAAAATTTTCACTTCTCTCCTATCACAAGGTACAGCTAAGTGTCTTTTTCCTACGCTCTTGTACTATTCAGTATGAATGCTATCACAGTGAATTTCAACTGTTCCCCTTCCCTCCCTTCCCTCTTTCTTTCCTTCTCTCCATTATAAATATTTGGATGAGTGAATGGATGAATGAATTAAACCAACAAAGGTATAACACTGAGGATGCAACTGCTGACTGTGCCTGGGGAAACAGTCAGGGAAGGAAGGAGCTCAGGGAGATTCACGAAGGAGGGGATTCAAAAAAGTAGTCTGTCAGGTAGGAAGAGCAATACTGTGAAAGAGAAGAGCAGTATTTTCTAATAGCATTTCTAGCAGGTTAACAGGAAAACCTTCAAATATTTGATTTTCCTGGTTTTAGTGTGTTCATTGTACTGGAAACAGAAAATAAAATGTTTCCCTCTATTTCAAGTCCCAAAGGATTTCTGAAACAATCAATTACTAACAAGAAGAAAAATCATTCTATTTATACCCAGCAGGAAAACAAAACAGGGTTATACAAGGCATACTCCCTGACGTAAGTGGGAAATGCATCATCAGCTAGGTATTCTTTTGGGTCCCCACTACTTGCATCTCCCAGATTTCTATTTCAGTTAGAAGTGGTCATGTGCCTGAGTTCCAGACAATGGAAGAAATGGAGGTGATATCTGTGACTTTCAGGCTCCAGCCTACAAAAATCTCTCATGCAATTCGTCATGTTCTTTTACCTTCTGCAGTCTAGACACTGACATCCAAAGTGACTTTGGAAGATGGCTGAGTCTCCTTCAGCCTTGGTCCTTAAATGGCCAGCTATTGCACAGCCCACTTCTTTGGAACCACATTGCACCCTCCAATATGATGTAAAAAGTAAGTACAAAGGGTGCTAAGCCACTAAAACTGAAGGGCTTATTTGTTACAGAAGCTAGTATGACTAATATATTAAAGTGGTGTCCAAGTTATATGAAAGGGTGAGAATTCAGTGTCAAATTAGAACTGCTACAGCTGCACAACAGAAGGGGATCTAAGTAGGGCTCTTAAGGGGATATTTTACTGCTGCTCCTTGAGGGAGGTGACTATGCTTGGTTCTGTGCTAGGTGCAGTAATTCACCTTTCTATCCAGATGTCCAACACACTGTTTGACATTTTGCAGAGGTACAACATGCTTGCTGAATGAATAAAATGAGTGAGTGAATGAATGAATGGAAAGAATTTTGAGGACAGCACTACAAGTTAAGGGAATAGCTAAACAGGGGAATATAGATTCCACCCCCATCCCTCATCTTCCTCCCCAAAATTCAACATCCTATTCAACATACAACACAAGAAGCTATTAAAACGGGGAGATTAAGGAGCTAAAAATATACCTTTAAATAAGTCACAGAGGGAAAGTGATACTTGGGGAAAATAGGCCTATAATGAAGAAGAGCTTCTGGGCATGATTGAAGCATTGGGCCAACGTAACACAAAGAATGGCTTTCTTTAAAATCTCATCAGCAAACATATATTTCTTAAATGATGCAACTCTAGTTCTGAAATGTGTTCTGGCTAGCATAATGGAGAGATGATTGCTGGATGCTCATTTCATAGCCAACTCATCTTTTAGCTGTTAAGGATTGACCCTGATATCAAGTATGGAAAGATTCTGCAATAAAATGTGCTAGCAATGCCGCATGCTCTGTTACAACAGTTATACAGCCTTTCTAAAGATGCTGATTCAAGTATCCTCAATTCACAAGTATTTCCTCAGAGTCTATTATAAGCCAGCCACCAAGGTAGGAAATAGAAACAAAAGATGAATATGATGATACACTATTTTCTAGAAAACAAATTTCAGTTGAAATCAATAATATACCTACTTTGATCCTATTTCCTACTGCTAGAATTTTAAAGAAAGTAAGAGAAAAATTACTATAAATGCAGTAACATTAAAAACTTCAATGCATGAAAGTACAAATATTACATTGTACTACAAACAAAACAGGAATTCAAGTTGTAAATGACCTTTGGTGATATTTTAAGGATTTTACAAAAAGGAAAAATGAATGCATTTCAATGGTTCTGTGAAATGCTGTTTAAAATAAAGTATGGAACACAATGAAATCATTCTTGCCACCACTTTTATCATTAGTACATAAAGAGTAATGGCTCATTTACAGATGTTACCTCTAAATATTCTCGTCTTAAGTGAGAAAGAATTTATAATAATGGAAACAATTTTAAAAGCATTTTAAAAGTAATGCTAAAAGCCATAGTAGAATGTGTGAATCTATTGGAAGTCAAAGGGAAAGACAATTGTAGAATGATTTAAGAATAAAACGAGAGCTTGTTGCTCCATACTAAATATAGGAACATTAAGTACCGACCTCAATCCAAATGTAAGCCTCTTTATAACTGTCTTCCCCATTATTAAAAATGCTCTAGAAAATAAATAGTCCTCTAAGCATGCTCCTAGCTAAAGAGTAGGAGAGAGGAGAACTGAGAAAGATAACATTTGTTTAAACATGTAGTAACAGGTTATAAACTCCTTCTCTAGGCAAGATAAGAGACTTATAACTTACCTTACTATAGCAAAGTTATAGCACAGTTATATGAGAGTATTTCTCTTTTCTGTGTTACACTTTGTTTTTAAAAAAATCAAAAAAAGTTCTTTTCAAAGATTAATTGCATTTTCTAAGACAGGTGAATTGATTATGTAAACCAACTAATAGGGAACCAGAAATATTATATTCGCTATTGTTAGGTTAGGAAAATTGCTTACAATAAAATTCAGTTATTAATCATTGTATGGGCTTTTCAAAAAATCATGTCAAAAGAACAGTATTCCGAAAAGCTCAAAGTTTTATTTTAATAAGCTCTCTTGTTCCTGTTCTCTCAGGGACCCTGTGCCATCAATTAGGCCCTTTGCTCCAGTTTCTCCATTCTCTCTCCATGGCTCCTCTCTGCTAAATCCTTGGAGATAAAATCTTGTTTCTGTTGGGAGATAAAATCTTTGGAGATAAAATCTTGTTTCTGCTGTGTCCTTGAAGTGAGAACTCTACTCGGTCATGTCTCGAACAGTTAAT